CAAAAGCATTCGGTAAATGCTTATTTATCCGATTGAATTCACTGTGATGTAAGAACCATGAACCAATCTTGCTGACCGTGGTGCAGTTAGGTAATTCTGGACTCTGGATTTAATGGTCCTACTGTGGAAATAGGGAGAGCTCTTTGGTGGTAATGCATATTCAGAATATGGCAAGGCAGCTGTCTTTTCTTCATTTGGGGATCCTCCTGGTCATTCTATTTAGGGTGGTCCTGGAGCTCTAATCCAAATACCTACCTCTATAGTACCAGTGATTGCTGATAGGATTAATGTAATAACCCTGCCTCAATGAATCATGTTGGAACAAAGAGGAACTCAGGATACATGAATGATGATCCAGTTGTTTTGTTTGCTTTGGGTAACCCCAAGAGATGCACATGTCGTGGATCCAAGACAAGAATAATACATATATATTAATTTTAGGATGGAGGCCTTGCACAGTTGGGGTAGGGGGAGACAACTGGCCTTTATCTCCTCCATCCATCAACATTCCCTGATTTCTCCTTTTGATAGGATTTTTGGGTGTTGGATTTGCTGAGAAGACTGGATAACTTTCCCTGAAAGACAGTGAAAAGTAGCCCCCTAAAATTCTCCATGCTATTTTGGGTAGTGAAATTGGGTGGCGGCATTTCACTTAATATTCTTGACCAGGGAGAGGGAGGCAAAATACTTTAATCCCCACCGCCCCACCCCCTCAGAATCTCTCTTAATGTTGAATGAAACTCTATTGTTAGTTTATAATGGGGGACAAAGGCAGTCATGGGCTAAGAAGGAAGAAATGAAAGGAGTAGGAGAAAAACCCATCATTTCCCCCAACAATGTTAAAATAATATGAACCAATACTGAAACCGGATCCAGTATTGATTGGCTTAATCCACTCTGGAGGAACTCCGGGCCGGTAAATTTCATCCACTTTGGCCAAAAGGTGAAAAAGTTTTAACAGTTTTTCGATTCCCCATTATAGTGAATGTGTAGCACAGAACTACATTTAAATAGAGTAGCTCAGAACCTGAAAGTGATTAAAGGGAGGGGAGAGAGAGCAAAGAGCAACACAAAAACAGACTGATTTTTATTTTTAATGCACAGATACAAGGCACATATTGGGGCCCCTACTATTTGAAATCCTTTCCACTGGCGGTGTAAACCTGGCACTGTCTGATGTGGCCCCTCACCTTGCCCTATTTAAGGACTCCTGTGGCCTCTGTTGCAGAGCTGCTCAGAGATGGAACACACACAGAGTTGCTGTTTGGTTGATACTGCTGTGTCACTCAAGGCAGAATGCACCTTCAAGGCAGCCTGAGGCTGTGGGTGACCAGTGAACCAGTTGACACACATAACCCTGTGGCAGCCTTCACCAACATGGTGACTTCCAGATATTTTGGACTACAACTCCCCTCATCTGCTCGTGGCTGAGGGTGATGAGAGCTCTGGTCCAAAACATCTGGAGGGCACTAAGTTGGGGTACCTAAGAAAGAAGGCCTCCTGAGATATCTCTTGAAGTAGCAGGGCCATTGTAAGGTAATGAGGGCAAGCAATGCTCGATCAGAGGCCTATGATTCTATGACTGACACACAAGAGAAGCTCTATCGTAGCACTGTTCAGTCAGTTATGTTTTTGTCTGCTGAGATCAAAGCATTAGGTAGCTTTCTTCATGAATTAGCAACCCATTTGAGGGGTATGGAGCTTTGAAAAGATATAGTCTCCTTATCTTTGGCACAGTGTGGTGCCCGATGCCCTTTTCAATAATGCACAAAGACTTTGGGGGCATGTACAGTTTCCTTATTTGTAAACTGGATTGCTCTCCAGCTGGGGCCTTAAGGCTACCCATGATCTGTAGAGCGTATACCAAGGCCTGGAAGGAACTGGTCACGTGATAATGTCTTACTTTCTTTCCTGCCCCCCACCAACTCAGTACAGTTCTCTTTCTAAGTTGCAGAAACTGTGCCTTCAGCTCCCTTCTCCAATCTTGTTGCCTTGCCTCCAAAGAGATCTTGTGAAGTCAAAACTCTTCATGGGAAGATGGGGCCATTACGTCGAAAGATAAAAGCCATAGAATGGAGCTCAGTGGCTTGGGGGGATTCCATGACCTCAGTAGGAAGACAAGCTCTGATGTGGGGTGGGAGTTTGGCTTTCAGCTGGTTGCATCTGTTGCAGGTGATGTGATTTAATAAAGACATGGTTTTGGTGCAATGCATGAAACGGAGGCATAAGGAACCTCAAGCACGGGCCCTGAATGTGGCCCCCCAGACCTTTCTATCTGGCCCTTGAAACTCTCTCCAGGACATGTCCCCACTTCCAAGACAACAATGCTCTCCTGCCCTGCTCAGTGTCTCATACTCGCCAACATTTATCTGATGAAAATATGAACGTCATTAATAATAATGATGATGATGATGATGATGATGATAATTTGTTTTATTTTTTATACCCCAGCCATCTGACTGGGGTGTCCCAGCCACTCTGGGCAGCTTTCAAAATTTATTATTATTATTATTATTATTATTATTATTATTATTATTATTATACAAATAATGGCTTGAGAGTTGGAGAGTTCGATAAATCCATACCCTCCAACATTTCTCTGATCAAAATAGGGATATCCTAAGGAAAAATTGGACATTCTGGGATCAAATCAGAAACCAAGATGGCTTCTTTAAATCCGGGACTGTCCCTGGAAAATGGGGACACTTGGAGGGTCTGGTGCTTCCCTTGAGTGTATTGGTCTGACTGGAGAGCCAGTGTGGTGTAGTGGTTAAGAGCGGTAGACTCGTAATCTGGGGAACCAGGTTCGAGTCTCCGCTCCTCCACATGCAGCTGCTGGGTGACCTTGGGCCAGTCACACTTCTCTAAGGTCTCTCAGCCCCACTCACCTCACAGAGTGTTTGTTGTGGGGGAGGAAGGGAAAGGAGAATGTTAGCCGCTTTGAGACTCCTTAAAGGGAGTGAAAGGTGGGATATCAAATCCAAACTCTTCTTCTTCTTCTTCTTCTGGAATGTATCATTAAAGTATGATAATGCTTGGATGGATGGTGAAGAGAGCTGTTCATGCATGGAGTGAGCCACTGTATGCAGATTTGCATCCACTACTCTGATTCCCCAGCACCATCACCAATGTCCTGTGACCCTCAAAAGGTTGCACATTAGGGAATGCAACCCTTGGGCTGAAAGGGGTTGTTCAATTCTGTTTTGGCACATCTTGCTCCTTCATTCCTGATTAGAGGGACAAAAAAATATGTGTCTGGAACCTTCATCCAGAACCTCTTGCAGGTCACACCAGTCTTGGAGAGAGAGTTTGAGAAGAAACGAGCGCTTGGTTTTTGAATGAAATGGATTTGTGCCTTAGTGAATCCAGCCTTCTGGCACCAGGTTTCGATGACGCCCTCACTGGATCCCTCAGAACTGACTGCCTCTCATTTTGTGCTGTCTCTTTGACTCCCTTTCCCTCATGTACATGAAAAATATCAAGGGGAAAGACCATAGCTCGATAGTAGAACATCTATTGTGCATGCAAAAAGGTCATTGGTTCAATTCCTGGTGCCTTTGGCTAGGGCTGGGACTCTAGCTGTATGGAGCCTTGGTAATGGAGAAATTCATTTCAATGTGGATTTTAATGCGAAACTACATAATTTGCAGTTTCTGAAGCAATATGCAAATGGAAACACAGGTATCCTTCTAAAATCTGTAGAGTGGAACCTTGGTTCTCACACACCTTGGTACTCGAACATTTTGGCTCCCAAACACCGAAAACCCAGAAGTAAGTGTTCCGGTTTTTGAACGTTTTTCGAAAGCTGAACGTCCGATGCGGATGTCAGCTATTGTTTCCAGGACGCCTGCCCCAATCATAGCTGTCAACCTTCCCTTTTTTTGTGGGAAATTCCCTTATTCCAACTCTGTTTCCCGCTGCTTCCCGTGGCTATCCTGGATTGCTAGATATCCCATAGACTGCCCCCGGGACAGGTGAGGCTGCTGGTCCCTTATTTTCAAAATTGAAAGTTGACAGCTATGGCCCCAATCGGAAACCGTGCCTTGGTTTTCAAAAGTTTCGGAAGTCAAATGGACTTCAGAACAGGTTATGTTCGAGAACCATGGTACCACTGTACTTCTTTAAATTTTGTAGTCAGTTCTCAAAACAAATAATGTGTACATTAGGGGAAAGTCTGCATAAAAATCCGTACATTAGTGAACATAACATATAAAATACATTACATTAAGGAAAACTCCTTGTGGAAATGTATATATTAGGAGAAAATTGGTGGTGAATTTTAATGAGGACATTAAAAAAAACCCCACTCGTGCACAAATGTTCACAAATCTAAGATGGAAAAAGGAGAAATCAACACTGACAAATCCATTCATCCCAAACCATTGGTCTTACTTTGGATAAGGCAGCTTGTATCTTGGGCTGGCCTTAATGTTTGTAGTTACTAAATGCTGATGTTTGCCCTCACTTTATCCTCAAATCTCATTTTTAATTTAAAGCTTTCTCCCTCTCTCCCCATCCCTTTAAGAACAAAAACTTTTTTTTTTATTTCATTACTTGGCATTTAAAATATATTTGGCCTCACCTGAGAGAGCTTTCGGCAACTGTGTCATCAATTTTTCTGCAAGCACCGAAGTAGCTCTTGTCTGTCATACCTGGCACTATGACAGAAAAACACTTTAACTATTGTAACTTTGGCTGAATCAAAGGGGAGGGGGTTGTCACAAAGACTGGTCTCAGAATTGAAAAGCACATCACTTTCAGTGATTTTTCTGGAATTGCTTTGCTGCAAAAAGGATTAAAGTGGTGGCCTATTCACAAAGCTGTGCTTCCTCTCATGTTCCTGGTTGGCTAGTATCACTTGTGTGACCTGTTCAGGAAATATTGCCCTCACTCTAAATTAGCTAAATTTTGCCTCCAGTGATCTGTGCCCTCACTCTAAGCTAGCTTAATTTAACCTACAGCGAATTCAGGTGGTAGCCAAAGTGGAATGGCTGCACACATGAAAGCTCAGTTGGTTCGAGTGTGGTGCTGATGATGCCAAGGTTGCAGGTTCGACAGATACATATTCCTGCATTGCAGAGGGTTATACTAAATGAACCTCAGAGTCCCTTCCGATTCTATGATTCTGTCATTGCATTTTGGTATCTCCAATAGGTTTGATCATCCTATGAAGGAGAATGAAGTCCTAATCAGGGCTGAAAGTGCCACCAAAGAAACAACAGATTGGTTTGGGAGAGGGGGAACGGGGGGAGGGAAAGAAAGAAAATGGCAGTAGAAGCCTGAACATTCACAGCAGTAAGAAGTTATTCTCAGGAAATAGGACTGCTGAGCAGATTTTTTCCCCCCTGAAAAGCAAAACAAGTGAACAATCAAAGCATCCCTAATTGTAACCTGGTTGCGATATCATGAGCAAATTGGAAAAAAACCAGTGCTTTCCTGTCCGGGAACTGACATCGGAGCCAGAGGCGGAGGCAAGGCTCCCAAGCGATGCTGGAGAAGGGCCCAGCAGGGAGAGAGGCAGCTCATCAGCTGGGGAAGGAAATCAGCGTAACACCAGGGATAAAGGGGGGCAGATGGGGGAATCAGTGAGGGGGCTCCAGGACTCCTCGCCGGAGACCAGCGGGGAGAGCACGGGTCCTCCGCTACCCACACCCTCCCTGCGCAGAAGACTTCCGCGCAGGGAGAGTAGGAGGAGACTTGGCGTCAAACAGCTTTTATGCTGGAAAGGTTTAAGAAACGCCCACTGACGGATTCTGCTAGCGACTGAAACAGCCACGAAGTGAAGGGCTGTCCAGACAGAAAAGGTTTAACCAGGCAACCTAGCCAGGAGTGGCGGCAACTTACGCACGAGCAACCCCTATAATTATTACATTTCCAATACCGCAACAACCAAACTTTAGATTTGATGCTTTAAAAAATGCATGATTCTAAATTTAATTCCCCATATTGTCTCCTTCTCTCAGTCATGTGTCATGACCCCTGGAGGGTTAAGTCCAGTCAAAGGCGACTATGGGGTTGCGGCGCTCATCTCGCTTTCAGGCTGAGGGAGCCGGCGTTTGTCCACAGACAGCTTTCCAGGTCATGTGGCCAGCAGGACTAAACTGCTTCTGGTGCAACGGAACACCGTGATGGAAACCAGAGTGCATGGAAACACTATTTACCTTCCCCGCTACAGTGGTACCTATTTATCTACTTGCACTAGCATGCTTTCGAACTGCTAAGTTGGCAGGATCTGGGACACAGCAACGGGAGCTCACCCTGTCGTGGGGATTCAAACTGCCGACCTTCCAATCAGCAAGCCCAAGAGGCTCAGTGGTTTAGACCACAGCGCCACCTGCGTCCCACTATGTATCACTAGCGAACTCTGAGTGGCAGGAAAATTGGAATGCCCCTCCTGACACCCAGTGGTGTTTGAACAATCCATTGCTGCACCTCTTTGGATGAACAGACTGCACTTTCCACTGAATGAAACATTTGTAAAGAGAAGGAGGGTTGTCTGAATCCACGCTGAGCCAGGCTTAGAAAGAAAAGCCCCCAACAAGTGGTCTTGAAGGCCACCCTAAAACATGACTGGCTCCTTTAATAGGCTTCAAAGTTTTATTTATATCCACTTTGAATAAGTGCAGCTGAGACTTAAGATCGACAGATTTAATGACAGCAAGCTGGCACTCGTCCAAATCTGCAAATAGAGCCACTAAAACTCTTTGCAGCTATAAAATTTGTTTAATGCAAGAAATCATAACCTGCCTCTCTTCCCCCACCCTTCCAAGCCTGGCATTTTTATAATTAGCATGAGGAGAAATCTCCCTTTCATCCCTCCAGAGCAGCCAGTGTTTTATGGATCATTCAATGAAAAATGGAAGTAAAGATTTAATTTAATTTAACTTTTTCTTTTTTAAGAAATTAAATGGGAGTTTTAAAAGCCACAACTTTGGGTGACATTTAAATCAGATATAGGACTTTTATTTCTTATGTACTTATTGCATTTCTACCCCACCCTTCCTTCAAGAAGCTCATGATGGTGTATACTTCTTTACATCCTCACAACAACTCTGAGGTTGTGAGACAGCAACTGGTCCAAGGTCACCCAGTGGGCTTCATGACTGAGCCGGGATTTGAACCCAAGACCCAGTCCAACACTCTAGCCCCTAAACTACAAACCACCTCCCACCAAGATTGTATCAGATTATGTACACTCATAAATGGGGGTATACAATTATTCCTCTCTCCACTTAGATACATGGGCTTGGGTACTGCAAACCTTGCTATCTTCCCCAGAACAGATGAATCGCCACTTCTTCTTGAAATACCCACGTCACTGTGGTATGCATTTGCCTTTTCATGTGACTAAGAGCCAAAGATGTGAGGTGGAGGTAGGGCAAAGCACAGCAAACCGATGCCATGTGTGTTCTGCACGATGCTATGGGAAAATGGTGGTGGGAGGCGAGTTATATATTTTATTTTATTTGTAAAGCTTTATAGAGCACTCAATCAGAAAACTCTTAACAGGTCCTGCAGCATCTTAGTCAGAATTCCCAAAGGCCAACTGATGCAATGGGGCAGCCACTTGGATTTTATCCAGGTGGGACTCAACTACATTAGTCAAAAAAACAATGTTTTGAATGCATTATAAACATGCAACACCAGATGGCGCTGGAGAGAGAGAAAAAATTGATGCAATTTTTACATAGTGGTTTTTTTCCTTTTGTTCCTGTGTACAGATCCACCCATGGTTGCCCCATTGAAATATAAACCTGGGATGGAACATGAACTGTTTGGGACAGTGGCCAGCCAGATGACGATGGGAAGCCCACGAGAAGGACATGAGCACAACAGCAACTCTCATCTCCCCACTTGTGTTTTTCAGCAATTGGTATTCAGAGGCACGCTGCCTTCAGCAGTGAAGGTAGAATACAGCTGTCTTGGTTAGGAAGCCATCAAGTCTTCCAGGCCAGAGCAAAGTGGTGAGCTGGAAGTAGGGATAGGGGAGAAATTTGATTCTGTTCATATTTAAAGGCAAACCTACCTCGTTTGTGCTTTCCAACACAACACACAAACCTAAGCACAGACATCCTTTGAAACTTTGAAGCGCAGTTCTCTAGCTAAGCAACGTGTACAAAAATGCATATACTGGGGTAAAGTGTGCATTGAAATGCATGTATTCGTTTTTTTAAAAGTGCAAAAACTTCAGGGAATATTGCATGCAAAAATGTATATATTTGGAGAAATTGGCACTAAAATCCTGATGAAATTTCACGAACAAAAAAACAGCAAAGAGATGTGGAAATTTGCTGAAGTGAGCTTAAGACTGGAAACATGAGAAACAAGAGAGCAACCAAAATTGACAGATTTCCCATCCTTGATTACAAGCATTTTTTTTTTTTTTTTAAATCCACTTCCAAGTCAGACTAAGTTTTGATTATTAGAGCTCTTGCTTGAATAGCAGTTAATGGCTCTTGTTTCTTTGGCTGATGGAGGTCAGTGCAGTGCAAACACACCAGCAAGGTTGGCTCTGCCAGTGCTTTTGCACCTTGCTACCCTTCCTCCTACTGCTGGTGCTGCTCCCTCCCAGTAAGCAACAGAGAACTACCTGCCAGGAAAGTGACAGAGCAGGTCTATCCTAGCCAGCAACTGATTTCTGTGTATACCTCACTACATCCACTGAGCCTGAAGGCTATATGAGAAATATTGCAATTTAGGCTGTAGTCCCAATCCCATTTACCTGGGATCAAGGGGCATAGAATTCAGTGAGAGTTACTACAGAGTAGACATAATTAAATTGCAGTTTTAAGAAACAAAACAAAAATCACCATAGAATCACAGAGCTGGAAGGGACCATGAGGATCACCTAGACCAACCCCTGCAATGCAGGAATCTTTTGTCCAATGAGGGGCTCAAACCCACAACCCTGAGATTAACAGTCTCATGTTCTGAGCAATCTCTCATTTTAAGAAAAAATGGCTGTGTGTGTTACAATCCTAACACACTTACTTTCCAGTGAGCTAAATTAAATTACGTGGAGCTGACTTTTGAGTTGCCATGCATAGGATTGGGTCTTTAGAGTAACATACTGGTGCCAAAAGAGACTTGGAAAAAATCAGTGTGTTCTCAGCTGTCAGTCTTGCTGATTAAAATTGGCTTTAGCTGATTCATCTACTGATTAAACCGATTAAAGCTTCTAGCCCTACTTAAATACTCAACACTAGATATAAGAGCCCTGCTGAAACAAGAATTAAATTCACAGCGTCTCATCAAGTGGCAGCAGCAGAGTAACCAAAAAGGGGGGATGGGAAAGGAATATAACTGGATTATGATAAGCAAAGGGAAAAATGCTGACTCTGTTTTTCTCTCTCTTATTCTTTTAACTCCTAGGTTTATTTCCTATCCTTTGAACTCTTTCCCCCAAAGAGGCATGAAAAATTGAGAAGTGTGGGGAATACACAGGATCTCCTCTTCAGATGCAGGTGAAAAATACATATGTAGTCATTTATTTACTGAAACCAGGAATAATCGTAATGAGACGAGGGAGCTGGTCTCATTCAATTGCCTCTGTCTACAAATGAAGGTGGGAAGACTCAGGGAAGGTAAAACCTTCTGTACCAGGCTGTTGAAAGCTGTGTCTGACTCATGAATGGGATGGGGTGTTGGAAAGGCAACCAGATATAGGGGTGCCTACTTTTTCTGTCATGAACAACGGCTTGACCTGCAGATATTCAGAACGTAAGAAGTAAAGTCACTCAGAGAAGATTTGCACAGAAGGACAGCCTTGCAAATCCATCAGTTGAGAAGATCACTGCTAGATCGGGTGACCAATTACATATCTCCCCAAAAAGAGGACATGCAGCGCCAGAAGAAAGGACACAGATTTGCACAAAACTCTGCACGTGTTAATTTATATGCGAAGCTGTAAATTTGGAAATAATGGCTAACAGAAATTTGTCTTGCCATTGTGGGGAAGACTGCAACCAGGGGTGCTTCCAGACAGTCTGCTATTTTCAGGTGGAATTCAATCACTAACTGACAAATCAAGATTCCATAAATATACTTGATTGGGTGGTCTTGTGCAAGAAACCCAATTCCT